AGCATGGATGGCAGTTTCTTATATCCAGTGCTCCCATGGGCCAGACACCCAGCTCTGGTGGCTGCACAGTTTCATGCACCTTGAGACCAATTTCCAGAGGCCTGCGCCATAGACACGGTGCATGTGCAGAGCTGCATGCGTGACTGCCTCCTTCTTCAGCTCCTCAGCACCAGCATGGTTTACTGCTTGTCATACAGGGTGGGGACCCAGCACTGGTAGGGTGTGAGTCACTACATGGGCTCTCATACCATGTAAAACTTGGGAAGTTCGCAGCTACTAGCTTATATCAATAACAAGGTCCTGTGTCACTGCTTGAAAAATAAAAAAAATATGTCTTTTATTTAAACTATCTACAATTTTGTAAGAGCAGCACAGGCTTACTGGCCAGTTTGATACTCTAAGAGATACTCAGCTGGAATGAGGGAAAGTCTCCCACAGTTACAGTTTTATCAAACAGAAACAAACTACCACAGTGTGGGAGCAGAAAGCAGCAACAGCATTTCACAAAGCGGCAAGAGACCATGACTTACTGAACTACAGAAGGAGTGGGAGAATCTGAGACTCATGCGGAAGATTGTTTTACATTAACTCTACTGGATTTTTGCAGCCTACCCCTACACATTTGACAGAACATTTCTGTGACATGTCAGAGGAGGAAGGGAAAAAACTTCCAGGTTGCACAGAAGTGGTTGGGTGGATAGATTTTACCACCTTATAATTTCTTGAAAGCAAGCTGAAGTCCTACCTAAAGACTTTAAGAAATAAGTATTAATTTTGTTTTGGAGGAAATCTGTTCATCCTTGATTTTATTAAGTAAAGCATCAAATCAAAACCAGATATGAATGGAGTCTTGTCAGCTGTTTGATTCAGAACCAGACAGAGAGAAGTAAACAGCATGTGACAATTGCTTAAAGGGCGATTTCCACATGCATCTTCCCAGTTCCCGTCGCCATAGGATCCTATTGCTCTCCTACTCAGCTAAATATCAGTGACATTTAGTAGGATTATTGAGATGGGGATGATGTCAGTAACATTTCCTAGACAAGTGTCTGAACAGATTTCTAACTTACACAGTTGATCTTTTCAGGCCAATCAAGGAGCATAATCATGGGGCCCACCTTTAACAGTGATGATTTTGTTAATTTTGTGCAAACACGAAATGTAAATGAATGGCAAGGGAAAAAGAGCAAGCCCTCCTTCATGTCTTGTTTAACCAAGGATCACTACTTACACACTTCTCCATGCACTGAGCATGCCTGTGCCACACCAGCCCATGGGAATGCATGCTGTAGGCAACAAGATATTCAACAGAGGGATTCCCATTAGCCCAGATGGACCCCAGCACTCACTCGCTCCCCATTAATGCCATTCTCACACAAGGTAAACACAGAGTAAGCACGTAGATCTTCCCTGTGGTGATTCTTGGTAGAAAGGATGAAGGGACAATACTTTCTCCCTGACGATGATGACTGTTTGACACCTGAGCTGGCATTCAAACACAGCTCTTTCTTTGGCAACTTTAACCATCTTTCTTTTTTCATTGTAAAGAACTTTAAAGTATCATTTCTCTGTCAGAAGACATGACTGCTGTGTTACACCAGTCAGCATGCTAGGTGGCATTAGCAGATGGCACAGCTTGCAAGGCTTGCTAATGAAACTTCCCACAAGCCAACTAGGCAGTGAACTCTCTAGCTGGAAATTTTCCATGCTCTCCACTTGTAAGTATATCCAATACCCAGGGTCCGTCCCTCCAGCTGCCCCTGTCTTGTGGAGGAATTTCTGGACATTGAGGGGAGAAAAATCCTCCAAAATGAACCATAAAACATCCATTCCTAGAGTTCTTTCTTCAACTCTGAGAAGATGTCTTCAACAGACAAATACAGTCACGGAGGAAAAGTCAACAGGGCAATGCTGTGTTTGAGGAGCAGCAACATGCAACCTTTTCCCTCAACATTTCTAGGTACAGATGGCATTTCCTGCCATCTGTATGGCTTGGTGTATTTTAATTTCTACTCAGGACAATATCCTGTTTATTGAGATCCACACACAGTAATGTCTTAATAGTTTTAGACCTCACTGTCTTTATATCCATGATAAGCCAGAGGTGGATGACTGAAAAATATTACCAGCTAAGGATTTCATATCTATGAGTATATAGGGGGCTTGGAGGTGAGGTAGGGGAAGAGAAGATGAATTTTACACTCCATTTTTATGCATTCAAGCACTAAAGGTCAAGGCATGGTTAAATTGGACACTTTTTTTTTTTTTACATTTAATTAATTTAGTAGAAGAAAATATGCCTTTAGCAAAGACAGTAGTAGTAAATAGCCTGAGGAACACAACAAGGGTCTTTACTGCTGAACAAGAGGTCAGATGGAACACGGTCTTTGAGCTGCTAAGACTCTGAAAGACAGTATTGGGGTGTCTCAGTCACTACAGTGGAAAGCAATAACTGATGTACAAGAATCATCTCAACTACATCTGTTTCAGATTTACTGTATCTGAAGAACATTTTTGGAAGGTTATCATATACCTTGGATATGATATATTTAAAGCAATAAATTCCATTGGAGAAAAAGGAACTTTTTTCCTAACCAACAGTAATGGAATAACCCATGCATTTTAAATAACTTCCAACTGCCCACTGTTTCACATTTTTCTAGTGG